CCCCCCCCCAATCTTTATAGTCCTTGGGTTTGGCTGGCACTCATGGCACTAATTGGGTCTCTGTTATCTATCTCCCTGACCAGGGTGATTTAAGCTATTTACTCTGCTTGGGGAGGAGAGATGCAAATGATTTGCTCTCAAGTGTCCTTGGTTTAGGGAAGATAAGCTCTTACGATTTACTAGCTGGCTGTAAATTGCTTGACTTATTTGGCCCTATTTGTCTGTCTGTCTCAGTTTCCCTTTTCCTACTTGTCAAAAATTATCCTGCCTCACTGATACCTTTAGGGAACGTGAGGCCCAGCTAATCACTCGGTTGCCACCCTTTTCTCCTTCCATTCCCTGGGATGCCCTTGAGCTCTGCTAGCCCACCAAGTCAGTCCTCTGGCCTGCCCTCCCTCCTGGGCCCACTGCATCCTCACTTCAATGAGCTCGGCTACCTCTGCTTTCTGCCCCGCAAAAAACACACAAACCCTCGAGACAAAGAAATGCACTCTGGGTGCAGGCATGCACCTGGAGGTGGGACAGAGAGAACAGGAGGAGAAAAACAAATTGTCTCAATAAATTATTCTGCCCCACGCAGGACTCATGCAGCCATTTCAATCGTCTTCATTCACAAGCCAGTTAAGGAAATAACCCTAAGAGAAGCCCAAGGACCGGGGGCCAAACGCTAGACTCTGGCAACACTTCCCTGACTGTAAATAGCCAGCCGGGAGCCTCGCTCCCTGCTCCGAGCTCCGTGGGGCTGGGAGGCTGCGGGCTCTGTTCTTGCCAGCGCACGTTTGAATCTTAACTGAGCTTTTCCCCCTTCTGGGCATATCTTTCTGGTGCGTGAACCCTTCAACCTTCTGTCCCTCCAAGCTTTCTTCTATTCTCACCCCAAGCCCCTAGGAGGCTTCTCAGAAACTTCAAAAGTCAGTCACTCAGACGCTGCTTTGGTGGTTGGAATATAAATGTTCCAGAGTCTCACATCTTCTACGGGGATCTGTAAAGAAGACTTCAAAGAAACGGCACTCCTGCTTTGAGAATTTCCCACATAGGCAATAAATAAAAATAATTGCCGCTTGCTGTGGATCTCTGATCTCATCCGGAGGGCTGGGTTTATTCAACAGGCCTGAAAGATTGCCTGGGGTCACACCCACAGGCCTCGGCGAGCTCGTGTGGCCTGCGGGTCACCTAAACCCTTCCAAAGGCTTGCCTCGAGTTATGTGGACGCTGTCACTTCAAACCGGGCTTTATTTGTCAGGGGAGGAGGGTAGACCATCATTAATTATCCTTTTATGAGCACCAAGTCAGGTTTCATATGAAAGAAAAATGTATCTTTCTTGAAATTAAAATCCGAAAGTGTCTTACTTCTGGATATGGCATTTTCTCCTGTTTTAAAAAGCATTTTTATCACTCGTTGTGTATAGAACAGGGGATAATGCTGGAGTTAAGAGGAAAAGCTTAGCAGTGAGCTAGTGCCCGCCCTTCCACTTAAAGATAAGGAAACACAATGGAAGTATCGAAATGTTTGTCCTACATCCACACGTAGGGAAAGGACTGAGGGGGAAATGAAGCTAGCTTTCTGAGTCTGATCCTCAGCTTCCTTGTTAGGGAGGTGGGATGACAGTGCTTGTACCTACCTCGGCGATGGAGAGGAATAAATGAAGTTATACCTGGAAAAACATAGCCCAGTTACTGGCACACAGTAAGAGCTAAATAAACGTTAACTGCCAAGGGAGGAACTGCAGCTGTGGCCCAACACCCTGGCGCTCAGTCCCAGCTGCCTGTCAGAGTTACCCGGATGTCTCTTCCATATGCTCAAGCCCAGGCCCAGCTGCGGACACTGAGGCAACTGGGGGGACTGGGCTCCAGTTTAGGTGAGGTTGGGGAAATGGGGTACAGAGGATTCCGGTGGGCAGCCGAGGTTGAAACCCACTGCCTAGGTGGTCCAGGGAGAAAGGCAGAGAGATCTTGTGTCCTCGAGACTGGCTAAATACCAGGCAGATGGTCAAGGAGCCGAGGCGGGGGAGGGGGAGGGGAGAGGGAGGAAAATGTAAACTACGATGGGAAGGTTTAAAAAGAAAAAAACGACATCTTTTTTCCATAGCAAGTGTGTGGTTGCTACATCCAACAGATATAATAATGGCCAACCGAATGGAAATGGAGCAATTAGTAAGGCTTAATCACAGTCTTATTAAAACAAGGCTCTCAGCTGTCCGCGTGGCTGGGAAACCTGCTGCCAGAGCAGAAAGACAGGAAAACACACACAGACTAACAAGGGGGCAGTCATTTAATGCAGAAATCCAGTTAACGTAAAGGGACAGAGGGGACAACAGATGGGACCTCAAACAATACTGCATAGTGTCGTGGATTAGCTCTTACACCGTGAATCTGTTTTCCTTCTGGTTTTGATTCCAGTACAAAGACGGAGGAGAGACTTCAATTAAAAAATAAATAAGGCAACAGAAGAAGAACCTTCCTGTGACAAGGAACATCCACAGACACACACATCTGGTGCTGACACAAGACGCCATCAGGACAAGTTCTGAAGATGCTGTATTAAAACTGGACAAGCATGGTTCAATGGCAAGAAAATCATACCTGCTTTGTTATGAATCCTTTTGCAAATAGAAATGACTCAGGTAATTGTTATATACAAACTTCTGAAATAAATGGCAATCATACAAAGTTTTCCACTGCAATCTCCTCGTTTTCTAAAACCTAGAAATGTTCCATGGCACTGCTCCCTAGTTCTCACAGTCAAAGCATAAATAGTCATTAAAGCACTTGAATCCACAGTAGTCTTGTCCTTAGAAAGGTATGGAGGTTTCGCATGATTTACATCAGTCATCGGAAAGGGCTGGCAGGCAACAGGCTGGAATGTGAAAGACCGCTTTGTGCTTGGGATCCTGCTGCGAACTCCGCTGCGTCCCCCCAGGACTCGTGGCACTGGGGGCGGACGGGCCACCGAGCAGTGAGCTGGAGGGCGACACTCATACCGTGGAGTCCCTGCCAGACTTTAGCTGTGCGATCTTGGTCCGGCTAATAAATGGGTAAGCGATGCAGAGACCTCCGGCCGCCACAATGAAGCCTAAGCTGCACCAGGCGCAGAAGATGGACCAGCTGTAGCCGTGCTCCACGTCGTCCGGCAGGCTGTAGAGGAGCCTCGGGAGGCGGTGCAGGTCGTAGGAGATGCTGGCGGCGTACGTGCAGAGGGAGATGGTGCAAAATATTCCTATAAACCAGGCAAAGGGAACGGGATGGTCAGTTCCGGCGGGCCTGCTACGGACACGGCAAATGCCAGGCGGGCCTTGGTGAAAATCAGGCCGACCGATGAGGCAATCACGCCAAATTCACAAAGGATTTATAAATTTTTATAATTGAATCACATCACTCAACAAAGACTGGCCAAACCTTTATGTGCCAGACCGCGGACTAGGCATTGGAGACACAGCCGTGGGGAACACGGGGAGACTCTAACTTGAATTACTCAGAATTCTCTTGCTTGGATGGCGTGTATATTTAAATTTTTTATTAAAAACAATTTAATAAAAATTATTTTTAAAGACAAAACTCTTCTATAACCACTCAAACCTAATGTAAAAGTCTTCGTTTCCCTTTGTTCTATACCTGATTGGACCATTCTTACACAGTTGCAGTCATCATAAGAAGTCTGTTTCCTTTTTCAATTACCATCAGCATTAGTTCTTGTTGCCTGTAAATAATATTTTAAATGAATTTTTACAAGTGCTAAATCGTTTTTAAAGCCAAGGAGCCTGGCATATACTAGGGCCTCAATAAATCTCGTGGGGTTTTGTTGTTGTTTTAATGAATGAATAAAAGCTTTTAAATAATATAAATTAAATCCAGGAAGTTGGACATGCTGTAAAAATAGCTGAGGAAGATCATATATTTCAACCACGCAGAATGCAGGCAACTTGGGTGATATAAATGGACAGACCCGAAATTTTACTTTTTTATACCAACACATGTATATATAATTGTCCTGCCACTAAAATCGGGACTCTGATAAAAATCCCCCAAACACCAGCTTTTTAGTGTTCAAGTGATGCTCCACGGATGCAGATGTTCCTATTCCACCACAATCGCCCCAAGAATGCTCCTTTGGGTGGGCAGGGGATCAGAATGAGGCCGCTGCTGAGCTGAAGATGGGTCATGAAAACAGAACCTGGTCCCCAGTGATGCCCAGGGATGCCCAGTTCTGGTCCGAGGCCTACACATCTCTTCTTCAGTCTCTGGTTTATCCCTGTGTACAGTGGAGGTCGCACCTATTTGCTGGAGAATTGTTTTGGTGACCTTAGGGATCTATGTAGCCTCTCCATAGGAAACAGACACACAGATTTGGGAACAAAGATACTGCCCCCTTTTTTTAATAGAGCTTTGGGGATCAGAAACACTTCCAAAAAAACAAACTCAGAGCAGGAACAATTGGAAAGAAATAAAGATCACCTGAATGCAATTTTCTAAACGCTGGAATTCTGCCTCCACTCAAGTCAGAGCACACTGCCTGAATCCTTTGCCAAATGTTCATTTAGAAAAGAAATGTTTTAAATTAAAAGGATGCTTGATCTGAGATAATTTGATATTTCCTACTCTGCCTAATTCTGTTTTAAAACTCTAAAGTGATTGCTTTTTTACAAAGGATAAAATCTTGTCTTCTGAGTCCTTGCTCCGGAATATAATGGCAAACACATCACTTTGCGTTCTCCAAAGAAAGATCATCATCGAAATAATTCTTTCACAAAGGAATGAGCCAGGCAAAAAAAAAGAAGACTCCTCTGCTCTTCTCAAATCTTGTGAGGAGCAAATGCTCTTACATCTACATGAATGTTTCACTGGCACCAAAACAAAGACAGTGTTTATATATAACAATTCTAGAAATAGAACAGTAAGGCAGTTAGAAAAAAATTGATCTTCGGAGTATCAACAGGTACAATATAATAGAAAAGTGACCTGTTCGCAGGAAAAGCAACTCCATTCTGCATTTAACTGTCTGCACCCAGCTGAATGCCTAAAAGCAAGGCTTTTTACAAGTAATGTGGTTTTAATGACCTCTGAAAGCCTGAGTTCAAACTTGGACTTTTAAGCATCCTTTGATGTCCAAATGCATTAGGCTGAGATGCAGGAAATGCATATTCTGGTCCCCAGATCTACTGCTAAGCACTGTGCAACCCTGACATTACCTAGCCTTGCTAAGCCTTAGTTTCACCTGGGGGTGGGGGGGGGAAGGGGGGGCCACCTGGATACTGAAGTTCCTTACAGTGTCAAATTTCTGTGATTCGGCTATTCCAAAATATGGCGTAGAGCTAGAACAAGTCCCAAAAGTCCTAGTGAATCTAGTGCCTAGTAATATGCAACTAAATAAAAAATAGATTGTCATAGATTTTTCTTTCCGTATATACTCCCTTTGATTTTGAACTAAACGTTGATTTTATTAGTGCCTCTCCCCTGCCAACTCCATAAAATTGCTTTTGGTGAAATGAGGTTTAGCGTAACACCTCCAGTCCACACTGAACAGAAAGGGGTGATAAACCATCTAACCTGCGGATTTAATAGAGGCTGGTTCTCTCTCCCAGCGGTGTCACGAGTGGCTGTGCTTGTCCTGGGCACTTGGTTTGTGCTTACTTCATGGACACGCGAATGATGTCACTAATAAAATGTCTTTCTTTGACCAAGTAGCCAGAAAGCTGAAACTAAACCAGTGGCCCACCATGAGCAAAAGTCGGGGGCTTTAGAGGGTGATTTTTTGCTACTAAGCTCATCCTCGGATCCATCTTGCCTTGCCAACTTGATCACTCATCTTGTTTTTATGACTTATTTGCATTTATTTTATCAGAAAATATTATATGCATTTCTGCGCCATTTAAGTTCTTTTTGGAATAGGGCACTCATCAAACCTTGATGGAAACGTGCTTTATTTTCTGAGGCCTTTCCTCACTCAGCTGAAAGTGGTAGAAAGGGTTACTATCAGCCCATAAATAAGCCCCTATTTGCCCTTCCCCTTCCCACAAATGCCCCCGAAGGCTGCTCTTTAGTGACATTTTTTCTCTCTCCAAGATGTCCTTGAAGTTGCTCTGAGTTAGAGGACAGCCAAGATTAACACAAGAGCGTATCTGAGAGTTCCTCCTTTCCAGAGGCCCACATCCCTAAAAGGTTCACAAATACAGTAAACCCTCGATTTTTCAGACCTCCGCTTAACGGACAAAATTTCCGGTCCGTATGTCCTATGTGAAAATGAACATCCTGTTAATTTTAAAATGCTTTTAACCAAGATTTGCTTGTAATTAAATTAACGGGTTATTTTTGTTCTTAAATCAGTTATTTTTAAGAAATTTTAACAAATAGGCTCTCTGTTGGAAAAAGCACTAGTAATTTCGCCAACATAAATGTTACATACCTACAACTATAGTCTACATATTAAAATCCGAGAGTCGCCGCCCCTAAATGCTTAGCACGCGAGCCCCCCGCAGCGCCTGGTCGCTGCTTTGCTGTCCCGGGCATCTTCCCGCAGCAGCTCTGACACCTGCTGCCGCTGTCCACGCTCACTAAGCCCCGCACGCCCGCTGTGTGCGTTTTTTTCCTTGAGGTGACTGGTTAAATGAGTGCATTTACTAGACTATTCACTATAAATCTAAAATTACAGTATACATACAGAAAACTTTTCTGCGAAATTAAACTTTTCATACATACTTAATTTTAATTACACAAACCAAATGTGTCTACATCAGTAAAAACAGGTCAACTAATTTGTCAATATTTTAACATATGCATTGGGAAAGGCTACTTTATTATATAACAGACTTTGGGCTTTAACAGTCACCCCCTTGCCCAAATTAGTCCATTATATCAAGGTTTTACTGTATATAGCTACCACAGCTATCATTTGTGGGATGGGCAGGGCCGTTCCTGATTATTACAAGGAAATGTGCTGAGAGTAGACAAAACATTGTTTCCCACGTTTCCAAAGCTTTTGTAAAAGAAGCCTTACCCATTCAAGATATTTTAGAAAGGTAAAAATAAAACCATCTAAATTCAAAGACGCCAAGAAAAGGTGTTGTTTAAATGATGAAAAAACATCTTTGTCGTACCTGGGTCACTAGTCTCAGGTCAACTTTTAGACCGTGGAATTGCATTTTGGTTCCATATGCACATCTTACGGTGTTCGTGTGTCTTAGCCGGCTAGGGCTGCCATGACATAGTGTGCGTGTGTCTTAGCCGGCTAGGGCTGCCATGACATAGTGTGCGTGTGTCTTAGTCGGCTAGGGCTGCCATGACAACCACCACAGACCAGGTGGCCAAAACAACAGAAATCCATTCTCTAATTCTGGAGGCTAGAGGTCTGAGATCAGGGTGTGGGCGGGGTTGGTTCCTTCTGAAGCCTCCCCCCTTGGCTCATAGATGGCATCTTCTCCCTGTGCCTCCCCACAGTCCTTCCTCTGTAACTTGTCCAAATTTCCTCTTATAAGGGCCCAGACATATTGAATTAGGGCCCACCCTAATGACCTCACTCTAACTTAATTACCTTTTTAAAGACCCTATCTCCAAAGATAGTCGCATTCTGAGGTACTAGGGGTTAGATCTTCAACATATAAATTTTGAGCGCACACGATTCAGCCCATAACATTGTGTGTCCATGCATGTGTGTGTGTGCATATGTGTGTAGTCATGTGTGAAGTATATTTCTATCCCTTCTATAGGCCTAAGCAAGATTTTACTATTTAAAATGTCATTTAGTCAGTTATTCAAGAATTATTTATCAAGTATCTACAATGTCCCAGACCCAGTTCTGATTGTCTTAGAGGTAGCTTAGTCGAATGAGTTCTTGTTGGTCACAGTTGCTGTGATCAGGAACCCCAAGGGTTCTTTCCACTCCACTTTCTCCATGCTTCTCAGGGAAAGGCACCGGGGACCTCCCCAACTTCCTATGAGTCCCACGCGGAGTCTGTTATAGCTGAGCTCGTGGAATCAACAAAACCTGCTGAACAAACCCAAGTTCTGCAATACACCGAGTTCTTCCAACCTAAGAACCAGTTCCTCCCAAATTGCCTCATGTAGCTCTTCCCTGTATAGCAAGCTATTTTAAATAATGCTGCATTTTTGTCAGTAGCCATCTAGTCGATGCTGGGTATGGGCGGGGCAGGAGAAGATAAGGTACCATCCCTGCATTCAAAAGCTCCAAACTGAATGGTCCTTCCTGAAAATCCATGAGGACAG